AAGAGTGAGATGGAAGCAGATTGGGATGTTTTTTGTGCCCAGGAGTAAAGCAAAAAGCTTTTTTGGTGAACTCTGAGAGGATGAGCAGTGGAAAATGGACAGATTTCTTTGGCTGGTGAAGAAATGAGGTCAGAAAAGAAAACGGAGAGCATTAAATATCCCAAGGTGCCATTTAGGGCTGTGTGTTCCCTCCTGGCCTCCCCAGCCCCCATGAACAGGGATTGCTCCAGTCCACCTGGGGCTGCAAAGCTCCATCCCTGTTTCCTGCAGAGATCTGTGTACATATCTCAGAGGCTGGGTTTAATTTCCAGGAGGATGTAGGTCTTGTTTATGTTGGAGCAGCGAGCAGGAGAGGCCAGGAAGAGACCATGTGTGTAAGAGCAGGGCTGGATTCCCTGTGGAGCAGAGGAGCCTTCCTGGGCATCTCTGCACAGCTGCTCTCTGCATCAGGCATGGAGAAAACAAAACAAAAAAAGGCAAATTAAATGTTCTTTATAAAAGATTCCAACAGCAAAGTTCTGTTCCAAAGGATGGAAGGCTCCTTATCCACTAAATCCATCCCATCACGTAGATCCCTGTGATCTCCAGAGACCTTTAGGAGCTGCAGCTCACCACATCAAAGGAGTGTCCGTGGGGCTTGGAGTACAAACATGGAATATTCAGGTGCCACAGGGGGTTCACAAGGCTCCGAGTCCGTGCCCAGGGAGCAGATATTCCCTTGCTAAGGCACCATCTGACAGCTTCCCCCTTCCAGAACTCCACACCAGACAACTCTGCATCAAAGGTGACCTGAGAAACTTTTTGTAATGCATTAAAACACGTCCCAGACTGAAAAATGCCAAAGTCCAGGTTTAAGAACTCCCCCTCTGATTAAAAGATGTTTCTTTGCAAAGTAAGTTTTGCTTGTCCTGATGGATTTGAAGCTCTGGGAACCATGGACCTCTCCTGGCACGATGTCTGTGCTGGAGGGGGACATGGAGGGACCACAGCAGGGGACAGCTGAGAGCGATCCATGCTCCAGTACTTGTGGGACATCCTCTGACATTCTGCTGGCTTCCCACTGCCAGAGGGCAGCGCTGGATGGGATTTTGGGAAGGAATTCTTGGCTGTGAGGCACTGGCAGGGGTTTCCCAGAGAAGCTGTGGCTGCCCCTGGATCCCTGGAAGTGTCCAAGGCCAGGTTGGATGGGGTGAGGACGAGGATTCCTCCCATGGCACAGAGTGACCTGGGTCCTGCAGTGTCCCCTCTGCGCTGTCAGCCTTGGCTCTCCCTCCCTCCTGTCCCCAAGAGCTGGGATAGGGTGAACAAATGATGGAGCCCAACCTGGTTTGAGGGCTCCGTGTGGTGGAAAAGCCTCTCCTCCAACCCGAGCTTCCAAAGAAAACTCTGCAGTCTCTTGTTCGGTCTCATGGTTGTTTATTGCAAGTTACCTAAAAGATTTTCTTCTTGAGCTGCTCAGTTTGCTCAGCAGCTCAGGCAGAGGCACACACACACCCTGACATCCTCTCTGACTCCTGACTCCTTCTCCTTCTCCTTCTCCTTCTCCTTCTCCTTCTCCTTCTCCTTCTCCTTCTCCTTCTTCTCTCCCCGCCCAGGGCTGCTGCTCTCTTTTATATGGTACATTACGTGTTACATGTTTATAGTTTTTCCCCAATACCTATTACCTATATTAAATGGTGCCTTTCTATATTTTATATGATACATTACATATTAAATGTTTATAATTTTTCCCCAATGCCTATTACCTATATTAAATTATGCTTTTCTCCTCCAAACCAATCTGTGAGTGCCAACATCACCAGAACATGGAGGTGAGGAAGGAGAAAGAGGGAGGACAGGGCAGGCCCAAATCCCAAATCCATCTTAAACCTCTGACCCCCATGTACAAAACCAAACCCCCAGTACAGCACTCAGAAATTCTTCCCTCTACTTTGTGACTACTTCTACTGTAACATCCAAACTTTGGTGACTTCTTGTTCTCCCTGCAAGGTTGGTAACTCGTTCCATGGCTCAAACCCAAACTCACAGCTGTTTGCAGCTGTGCCAGGGTCTCAAATGCTTCTGACCTGGGCCCGGAACATCCAAAAACATCTGAGGGACGTTCTGAGTTCCAACAACCCACGTGTGTTTCATGTCGCTGTATGTGGGGAGGAGATGGGGACCCCAGGAAAGCTCAGCACCCCGGGGTGCAGTGGGGACACCGGGCTCAGTCACACCAAAGCTGCTGCCCAAAGCCCTGCAGTTCTTCCACCCTCCCACAACGTAACATTTCCCTTTTCCCCGGGGTGCTTCCCCTAATGGGATCTGGAACGGAGTCCTGTGCCAGGCCAGCAGCCAGCAGACTGCAGAATGTTCCTCCCCTCCAGCCCTGCAGTGTCCAGGGGATGAAAACCAACATCTCCCACCAGCCTGGGCTGCCGAGGCTGGTCCTCCAGCTCAAGGAATTAATTTGCTTTTTGATCATCCCTAGGGAAGAGTCCAGCAGAGCCCTCTGGGGTGCTGCTGGGACAGGTTCCTGCTGCCTCAGGAATCTTCCAAACATTCCTCCTGGAGGCTTTCCTAGACTGGGTCTGTGCCAGCCTGGTCGTGCTCCTGGCCCCAGCTTGTCACCTGCCTTGCTGTGTCCCAGTGCTCCTGCTGCTGGGGAGAGTCACGACGTGTTTCTGTGTGTTCCTGGGGTTTGGCAGAGCTGCAGAAATCAGCATTTCCCCGTTTCATTGCCTTACGGATCCCCCTCCCCTTCTGCAAACCTTTCAGAATCTGCCTGTCCCCGTGAGGGAACAATTTGGTGGCATTCAGGAGTTGCTGAGTCTTGAACAGCTTCTGCTGGTCCAGCCACTTCTTTGAAAGTTGGAAGTTTTGGGTACTTTTTTTTTTTTTTGCTCAAATAGCAGCTTGCAGCAGGCCAGGAGCTGTTGTGACAGTGCCTCTAAAATCCTTAAGCTGCTTGAATCACTCCAAGGAGCCAGGCAATAAAAGAGCTGGAATAAAATGTATCCCACAATGTCCTTCACTTCTGCTGACAACTGCAGTTTAAATCACTGGTGCAACCTTTTAGCATAGCTGGCTTGTGAAAATGAATAAAATATAAAATTACGTTAGAACAGCGACTTGCCACCTCTTCTCTGGTGGAGAGTAGGGAGAAATCACCATTTTTTGGGGGGGTGAACCTCTGCTTTAATGACACTCAGAATAAAATGTTAATATATGCGGGAATTTTTACATCATATTAATTATATAGTGTTTATTAGATAAGGGCCTTCACTTTAATCATGAAGTGGTGTTTATTCTATGAAGAGTTTGATGTTTTCCAGAGTTTACATTAAAATTAGGCTTTTTAAAAAAAAAAAAAACTCTTAAGCTCTCTTCTAGTGGAAGATGTCCCTGCCTGTGGCAGGGGGTTGAAATGAGATATTTGAGGTTCCTTCTAACCCAAACAATTCTGTGGCTCTCAGGAGAGTTGTTTCTTTTGGCTGATGGATTTGGGCATCCCATTGCCAGATGCTCTTGATTCCTCGGCTCCTTTGCCCCAAGTGGCCGGAGTTTCAGGGACTCAAAATAATCGGTGGCTTTGAAGAAGAAGAAAAAAAAAAGGCAGATTTTTATTTTGTAAACCATCAGCATTCCGAGCTTGCCATAAAACATCTCCAGATGCTGGGGCAGCGTGGGTGAGGTTTGGAGTGGATCTTTCACGGGTCACGCCGAGATGAAACCCTCAGCTGTGGCTGCTGACATCTTCACTGGTGATTCCTGGAGAACTCGGGGAGGAACTTTGCAACCAGGGAAGGAAGGAGGGGTAGGAGGGTCCTGGCTGCTCTTGTTTCTGCAAACACCCTGCAGCATCTGCTGATGGAGCAGCACCAGGACCCGCAGCCTGCCAGGAGAGACCGGCTCCCATCACCGTGTGTTTCCATCTCTCTATCCCCAAGATTTGGGCACTCGGGAAGTGTTTTGCCAGCTGAAGCCAGCGGGGTGGAAGGCATGGAAGCAGCTTTTAAAAGCAGCAGCAGCCTCCAAGGACCAGCCCTGACTCCCTGCCGGGAGCTGGGACTGGCCAGAGGCTGCGAGCATGGAACACATCAGTGAGAGTCAGCGTGGGGAGATGCTCTGCTGTCCCAGAGGCTGTGTGGGAGGATGAAGGCAGGATGGAGATGATCCTTTTTGTTTGAAAACAGATCCTTTTTGTTTGAAAACAAAGGGAAATGCCACTGACTTCGCCCTCCTGGAGCCTCGGGCTTTTCTTAACAAAAGGTTTTTTTTTTTTCTTTTAATTTTTTAATCTGTTTGTCTGCTGAGATCAGATGGGTTTATTTTTTTTGCAGCAGAGGCGTGGCTGAGAGAGGATTTGAGCTAGGGAAAAAACTGGATGAAGAATTGGTGGGAATTGCTGGGCTTGAGGCTGGACTTGGTGGTGTGTCATGGAACAGGTCAGGCTGGGTGGCTTGCAATGATCCTCTTGGACCTTGGCACTTAAGGAACAATGGAGATAATGACTTTAGTTAATATTTTTGTGGGAAATGATCTCAGGGATGTAACCTGGCAATTACCAGGAGTTGTACAGGAAGAATTTTGTGTAAAGTGAGCTGAGAATGCTGAGAATGCCTGGAAGCAGGCTCAGAACTGATGGAGCAGGAGCTGATGATCCACATCTGATCCAAATCTTGTAGATTTGCAATATCCCTTCTCCAGGTTGATCTCATTTGTACCTCATTCCCCATTCAGCCTCCCTTACCCCCCAAATTGTCAAACTTGTGCGAGCTTCCAGGCTTAAGACCACGTCATAAATCACAGAATCTCAGAGAGGTTTGGAAGGGAAGGGACCTTTCAGCTCATCTCCTTCCACGCCCTGCCGTGGGCACCTTCCACTGCCCCAGGCTGTCCATCCCTGTTTGGAGAGGTGCAGAGGGAAAGTTTGTGCCAGAGTGCCTCTCTTGCACCATGCCATGCATAACTTATTTCCTGAGCCCTTATGGTTTTGTCTGTGTTTTTCTGTTAAACAGGAGGGAAACCCTTGAGATCAGCGCTGGGAGAAAGAAGAGAGGTGGAGGAGGAGTCGATGTGGGATGAGCCCAGGAGCTGAGGGACAGCAGGTAAAACACGAAGGAGCTCTGCAGTGTCAGGCTGCCCTACTCCTGGAGTTAAGTTGCTTCTTCCCTTGCTGGATTTTAACATCATTTACCAAAACACCTCACACCCTTCTAACAACACTCTCCTCCTCCCCACAGTCCAGTTGAAATAATGTTGAGATGAGAAAAGCTTGTAAAAATAGGGCAGGACCATCACAGTGTCACCCCCAGAGCTTTAATCAAGCTCCTTACATATTTTTTGGCCATCAGCTCTTTTCATTTAATCATCCATTAATTGCTGAAAGTTTTAGCCAAATTCATTTGGCAGAAGTGCAGGCGAAGAAGCAAAGGAATATTTCACAATATTCTGGTTTCAGCAGTTTTCAATTCTGATTTTAAAAGCAGAGCTGAATGTCACTAATGGTCTGAGCTCAGTGTCTGGGTGCCTCGGGATCCAAATCCCTGCACACAGCTCAGGGGGAAGTTGGGCTCTGAACATTTTTCTTCTTGAGCATCATTCTCTGGGCAGATTCTTGTCCCCAAACTCTTTGTAATTGAGGTGTGAGGATTAGTCCATGGGTGCTGATCACAGCTCCTGTGGGGGTGTGTGGCTGTCTGGGAGCCTTCCAACCTCACTGCAGAGGCTGGAGCTGCTGCCAGCAGCACATTTCTCCTTCTCCAGTTTTCTTCTGGCTCCTGTAAGGAAGCCCGAGGATGAGATTTTGTGTGCCCTGTGCTGAGCTCCCTCAGGCAAACTCGGGCTCTGGAGTATTGTCAAAGCTGCTGATGGGTTTGGGCTCCAGCAAAGGAGCCACTCCTGCCTGTTCCAGGGAGTGGCATTTCCTGGCACAGGGACACAAGGACACCATGGGGCCAGGTTTTGGAGTGGAAGCAGCACGTGGATTGTGACTCGAGCCACCAGAGTTACTCCAGTTGGAGTCTGGCTGCTAAACCTGATTCCTTCTCTCAGGAAAACTTGGAATTTGGGCTGTGATTCGGCACAAAGCACAGGAGGTGCTCTCGAGGTCCCTTCTGGGCATGAACTCTGCCCCAGGGACACATGGCCAGTTCCAGCCCCTGCTTTGCCTCCCTGCCAGAGGATTTCTCCAGGAGCTCCGTGTCCCTGTGAGCCGTGCTTGGAGCATCTGCTCTGAATATTCTTGGGCTGAACTGCTTCCAGCAGGCTTAGCAACTGTGCCTGTGACTTCCTGCAGGAAATCCAACCATGCAGGGTGGCGTGGAGCTTATGGGACTGTGACTATCAAACCATCATGGCATTCTTAAGTTGACTTTTTAATTTATATTTTTTTTAAACCCGTTAGCTGTCTCCCCACCCCCAACCCCGTATCTGTGCATCTGTGGAGTTTTTCTTCCTGCCTTGTTCAAGTGAAAGAGTAAATCCTTTTTGATTTATTCCTGAGCAGCCCTCGAGCTCAGCTCCTGTGAGAGCCTGCTGACTTGGAGTTCAAAAGATCTCAGGTCTTTGAGGCCAGGCTGTGGGCTTCCATCTTGCCTCAAAGTTAAACTGAAAGAGAAAATTCCTTTTCTTCTTAAAAAGAAAATCACAATGCTGGCTAAGGGAATCAGACTTACCTGGAGCAGCAGAGAATGCCAGCATGCAGAATTCTAGGTTAAAATCTGGTTGTTTAGCAAGCCTTTATTTTCAAGCACCGAGCACGTTGTTTAGGAAGTGTTTTATGGAGATAAATGCTTCTTTAAAAGCAGTGCTGTTGCCTGGCTGGGATCCAGCCTGTGATCCTACATTAAAGCATTTTTTGGGTGTTTAAACCACTACATCACCACGGTGACTAGAAATGGTAGTTCTTATCCCTGACTTCCTGCAGATCTGCAGGGTTAGATGACATTTTAGGAAGAATTTCTTTACTCTAAGAGTGGTGGTGAGGCCCTGGAATAGAATTCCTAGAGAATCTGTGGCTGCCCCTGGATCCCTGGAATGTCCAAGGCCAGGTTGGACAGGGTTTGGAGCACCCTGGGATGGTGGAAGGTGTCCCTGCCCATAGCATGGGTGGAATGGGACAATCTTTAAAGTCCTTTCCAGCCCAAATCATTCCATGGTTCAATGAGGTGCAGACATACCTGGCATATATATGTGTGTGTATGATTTATATACATATATAGAGCAAAACAAACCTGTAAAAAACTATTTCTATCCTATTTCACTTCCACAGGGCCCTGCTTAGTCCAGATTTATGCAGTTGTGGCTGCAGCTGTGAGCTTGGAAGGGCAGAGGTAATGGATGGAAGACTTTTAATAGCTGTAGGGACCCTCCTTTTAAAACCCAGCTGCTCTGAGCAAGGTGACCTCGGCTCTGATTTGGGAATCCAGCCCTGCAGGGGGAAGGAGATGCTGATCCATGGAGCACAGGCTTGGCCACACAGCAGCAGAAGAGAAAGCACAAGTTGGGCTGGTGGAGTTTTCAGCACACGTGAGACTGTCAGGCTTGCAGTTAAAACTATGGGTGGTCTCCCAAATTTGAATTTACACCTGGCAGCGGTGTGGCTCTGTTTTTTAAAAGGCTCCAGTCCTGGTGTGGCATGCTGGGGAGAGAACCAGCTTTTTTACCTGCCTCCAAGCAGCACAAAGGACTGGCAGCATAAGTGACAGCTCAGATGTGAGGGAAGTCTCACGTGGGGTTTTGCCAGCCCTTCTCAGCAGAACTCTTCCAGAAATCCTCTCTTTCAAAGTTTTTGGGCCTATGAGGAGTGTGCATGGGAACAGTTCTTGATACTTTACCCTCCTTCCAGGACAAAATGTGAAGAAAGCTGAAACTGCAACGATTCTCTGGCATGTGTGGGTACAGCAAGGCCACACAGCTCAGGTGACAGTAAAGGACAGGTAACAGGCTGGCTCTTCTGCTCTTCTGTCCCCACTCTTCCTGCTCTTTCTTCAGCAGACAAAACCCACACCCCAACCCTCTCCTGTGTTCTGAGCCAGCACTAAAGTAGGAATATGGTTTTTTTCCCCCAAATCTAATTTGAAACATGATGACTGGACCGTTCTTAAACAGCTTCCAAGTTAACAATAAAGAAACTTCACAGAGTGCTTGGCAGGAGCCTCTGTACATAATTTAGATCATAATCAGATGCATTAACACATTTTATATGGATCTCATGGGGGCCAGGAAGACGAGGTGTGCCGGGTAATTTCTTTCCAGATTTCTTTACCTGATTGTTTATTACTCTCGGGGACTTCATTTGTGGTCCAAATGTCACCAGCAGAATCCTGCTGCTTCATGTGCCTGCATTCAGAGTAGCTGCCAGCGAGGCTTCAAATTCCTTAATTGCTGTGCTCTCCTCAGTCTTTCCATCCCTGGTTGTGGATGGGAGGATGGGGAGGGAGAGAGAGGGAAGGGGAACAAAAGCAAGGACCCAAATCCTGCAAATTGCTGAGCTTCCCCTGTGCCAGCAGCTCCTTGGGAGGGAAGGTGCTGAGAGTGCTGGTGTTTCCCACTGAGTACAATCAGAATCTGCTGCTGGAGAGCTGCATGGGGGGAACACTTCCTCTCCCTCCCTTTCCCTTTGAGATTTTCAACAGCAGCAGCAGCTCTAATTTTACAAATCTCCTGAAAGCTTCTCCACGCTCAGAGAAGAGAAATGCTCGCGTGTCTCTGGCTTTGTTTGATTGTTTTGCCACGAATCCACCCATGCCCATCCTTGTGAAATCAGTCCTTTGACAGAAAAATCTGCTGCTGCTTTGAAAAGTGATATTTGGGATGTCTTTCTGCTCCGCTGGTTTGTGTTGTCCCCACAAAAGGCAGGCAGGGAAGTTCCCTGTCACTTCAACATCTCCTTTGTACGTGTTGGAGTAATAACCCTCCCCAGGTTCATGGGATTTATTTGTTACTGAATGTCATGGAATGGTGTCGAAGTGGGATTTTTTAAATCCAGCTCTGCTCCCAGATGGGAGCACAGCTGAGGTTTGGGACATGAGGAGCTGCTCTGGTCACTCACTGTCCAGCCAACAGTGGCCTGAGCCAGCTGCCACTGATCCAGGTGTTGGCACAACCAGGAATGAACCTCCAAGGCAAGTCAGATGTGGCCTGGGTGTTTGGGCAGGTGAGAAAGCTCAAGAACATGAAAATATAGAGCAAAACACCCCTAGATTTGGGCCACAGGACAGGCCCAAAACGGGACCACAGCAGCCCATACCAAAAACACAGAGCTCCTTCCTCCCCTTTTTATCAGTGCCTGATAATGGTACTGAAAACCACCCCAGGCCAGAGGAGAAACGTGGATTTGTTTGCTTCTCTTTTTTTTTCTCTCTTTAATAATTGTTTATCAACATCAAATGATGATGCAACAGCATCCTAGTTGTAAAGTGGCTTTTACCACAGAGCATGATGAATATGGAGAAGTGAGTATCCTTAAAAATCAGAGTTGATGGGGTTCTGAATTTCCATTTTGTGCACTGAGTGAATCCCTGTGTCTCACCCTGTAACTCCAGTGCCTTGTGCTGCTGAAATGTCCCCAGGGGGAGGGTGAAGAGCTGGGGCTTCTCTCACAAACTCCTGCCTTTCCCTGGGTTTTCCAGCTAAATGCTGGGGAATGGTGTTACTTGCAGGATATTCTCCCTCAAGACATAAAAGTTAAGGTTGTCTTCCTCTCCTGAACAACTCTTTTACCTCCATCTCATGATTCAAAATTGGCAGAAGAGCATCAGAGGAGCCCGATCCAGGCTCTGAAGAGTTCATGTGAGCAGGGCAGGCAGGAGTGCACGAGAGGGAGAAAATACCCCCAGCCCCTTTGCTATGTGTTGAAGTTTCCTTGCTCCCAGTGCCCAAGTTCCCTGGATTGATGGATTCTTCTTAGGTCAGTGGCACACCCAGTTTGGACAAGCTCAATGGCTTCTGGGTCCAGCCAGCAGAGCTGCTGCTGAGCAGGAGGAACGAGGAATTCAGGTTCTCTTTAGGGAATGTACTCTGCTGCTTTAAACTGACAGGGCAGGGTTAGGCTGGATTTTAGGAAGAAATTCGTTATTCAGAAGGTGGTGAGGCCCTGGAATAG